AGGTGGCGAGGGATTTAGCCGCTTGGGTATGGTGGGGACAGGTCCCAGGCACAAGGATCAGCCAATGAAAAATTCTCAGGAGGAAAACTTGCCTCTTACGTTTGAAGGACAGCATGGGGACACTGGAGGGAAAGGTGAGATTAGAACTGTAAACTGGTGTATATGTGTGTGGGGGGGGCCTTTTGACCATTGAATTAACCTTATCGATGAAATGAAAACTATACATTGTCTATTCACACTATTATAACTGTGTATTATAAGGTCGAAGAAGTAGGTGTTGTTCTTTCTGACTCTGTTATGAATATCAGAATGAAAAGTGGTTTGAAGCTCTAATTATTCAACTCAATCAATTGTGCAGAAATTGCTTATAACTTCTGTGTTTATGATTTGAATAATATGGCTGAGGTTCCTTTAGCAGAGATTTAATTTAATTGGTAGTGGTGAGGGTGGGAAGGGAGGAGTTTACGCCTGAGCACTGGGTTTTTTAAATGCCCCCAGGTGGCTCTAATATGCAGCCATGGTTGAGAAGCACTACTCTGGTACCTGTACAAGTAAAAAAAAAAAAATGAGAGAGAGAGAAAAGGCTTTTCTCGTTCCTGCTCCCATACTGAGTTTCCTCCTTGCTGCTTTAGCTCACTTCAGTTTCACGTCACTACCTAGGATTCCAAAACTACAAATCCCCTCCACAGAAATCCGGAACGTCTCCATCCACGCCACTGGAGAGGGAAGGTAGGGCAGGGAGCAGTTCTCCTTTGCCGCCCCATTCATGAGTTTCCCACAACACCAACAAACAAGGCTGAGTGTGGGTCCCAGATGACCGAAAAGTTTGTGCTGGAGAATGATAGCAGAAGAGCAAGGGCAAGAGCGGGGGGACATGTTGGCATCAATTACCTAATAAAAGAAATTTTAAGAACAAGGCTGTCTAATATTCAGTGTCAAATTTTGGCATGGTCATGGCACGAAATATCTCGTCGCCCCAAATCATGTTTCATTTTTGTGTGCCTGGCACATTTTTGGCACAAAATAAATTGTTTGTTATACAAATGAATGAATGAATTCAAGTGGGCTGAACACACAAACAACAAGCCCCAACCCATCCTTTCCCAAGCCCTCCAGTCCTGCTCCCCAGAAGCAGTCAAGTTTACCTCTTTAACCTACTAGCCCTGAATAATATGTTTATGCTGCTCATACTGGAAGTATCACTGTTAGATCCGGCCTACTCACTTCCTGCTGAGATAGACAAGGGGAACTTGCCTCTTATGTTTAAAGAACAGCATGGGGACACTGAGGGTAAAGGTGAGATCAGAACTGTAAACTAGTATGTGTGTGTGTGTGTGTAGGGGGCCTTTTGACCATTGAATTTAGTAAAATTAACTACTCCAAATTTTCCCTACTTATAGCACCTAATAAATTACATCACTATTGCTAGCTTCTCCATTGGCTACATTTGTGATATTAAATAATATAATTAAATGTGTATTTCTTGTTTCAGGCAGTATCCCTTCACTTTGTCAAATAAGAATATTGTATCCCATACCATTCTCTTCATCTCTCTTTTTCTCTTTTACATGATCACATTTAACATTCATAACCTGTTCTCAGTCACAGTTAAAGGATTCTTGCTTTGTCTACAAGTGAACTGTAAATCTGAAAATCGGTAAACAATGTACATGTGGTATCTGCCCAGGCAAGTTGTAGTCTATGACTATATATATATATGTTTTTGTATACTTTGTGCTATACACCTTCACCCCTACTAGCCTCCTGCCTTTTCCTTTTTGTCTTGAATTGTCTATTTTTATGACATCATTAGTATACGTTTCTCCAACACTTTCAGGATACTTGCACATCTGGGAACACTTTTGTTTCTACAGAAAGTTCTCCTACATCTCTGTAGCCTCCTTTCAATTAGGATGGGTGGCTCTCAGTTCTGCTGCACAGTTGTCATCCTGGAACTTGCCCTTACTGCTTTGCTGAGTTAGCTCCATTGTTCATACATCCACTCTGCTCCAATTTCTCGGGCAACTCCCTTGTTCTACCAGCTAGCATTCTCAAGTACCGTCCTAAAAAAAAGAGTATTTGGGAGATAAAACTTTCTCAGTTAGTGTTTAATTTTCTTTTTTATTCTGCCCCCATATGTTGTCCATAGTTTGGCTGGGTATAGAATTCCAAGTTCAAAGTCATTTCCCTGACTTGGGAAAGTGGAACTCTTAGGGAATTATTTAGCTCCTAATACCCTGTCCTGTTGATGAGAAGTCTATTAGCAGCCCGATTCTCATTCCCTTATGGAAGACCTCTCTTTGCTCTCTGGAATCTTTTAGGATATTCTGTTTACTCTTGCCATCCTGAATGGTACACGCCTACATGCAGGGTTTTTTGTTTGTTTCTTTCTTTTCTCCTGCTTAGTGCTCAGCAGATCTTACACATTTGCAGACTCATGTCTCCCTTTAGTTCTGTATTTTTTTTTGTTGTAAGTTTCATCCAACCGTTTTCTCAGTTCTATTCTGATGTTGGAAACGTCAGTTAATTCTGTATAAATTATTTTGTCATACTTTCTGTCTCTGACTACTGTTCTCTACTTTCCTCCTCTTCTCTAATCTTGTACTAATGCAAATTGAGCCTACAAGCTGACCTCACAGGCAATGGGGCAGAGAAATGAGTCATAACTCATGTTTCTTCCTTCCATTTAGTTAAAGGCTTATCCAACATCAGCCCTGCTGGCTGGGTGAGTGAATGTTACCTATGGTGGTGTGAGCAGAGAAACAAAGTTTCTGACGGTATGGACTTACATTGTAGTAGAGAGAGACAGACAATAAATAAAGTGTTGCACGTCAGGTGTAGTTCTAGAGCAAGCAGCTGTAGCGGAAGCTTTCAAGGAGGCAGGCAGCGTCTTGGCCACAGATGGGCAGCAGCAATCTTGGTGGTTTGGGGGCCCAGAGTAGACCCCCAAAATATGCCTCAATAGCATGTTGATTGTTTTGAATTACAGTTACTGAAGAAATGGCCAGCGCAAGAGGGGACTCTGACTCTCCTTTCTATGTTCCTGAAAGCAGGAAATAAATCTCTCATGCGAAAGATGCACTCCCTGCATCTGGAACTAGACCGACACCCTTTCACCAAAGATAGGGAATTTGGGGCCGAGAAGACTATATCAACAAACCTTGCTACTTTAATACCCGAAGCCCAAACTGTTTAGATTCTTCACTAATTGGGCACCCAAAACCTAATCCTTTGTCCTGTCAAATGCTTACAAATTTACTGTTTCTTTGCCTAAAAATGATAAAAGCTGCTTGTTTTTAGCCACTTCTTAGGTCCTATTTCTGTGAGATCTCCATGTGCCTGAATTAGAATTTGTTTCTTTTTCTCTTGTTAATCCCTCTTATGTCAATTGTATTAGCCTCGTGATAAAAACTCAAAACAGTTACAAGGGGAAATTCCGCCTCCCAGACAGTGGACTGCTCGTGCTCTGTCTTTGGGTACTTTCTCAGAGTTCTCTACCTATGCTTCTGCAGCCCTCCTACGATTCTTCAATACCCCGTAAAAATTCTTTTTATCCTTAATCTATCTAAAGTGAATTTGATGAGTTCTGTTCTCTGTGACTGTACCTGACTGCTATAATAATCATAAAAATAAATTGTATTTTTACCAAGCAGTCCCCTTGATATTTTTCTTTCTCTTCCCTGAGTTCAAACTTGCACGAGCAAACTTCATTATAAGTACCCAGGACCAACTTCTGTCCCCAGTTTTCTGTGTAGTCATGGAAGCATTTTTTAAAATTTGCCATCTAGGTGGAGAATGGAACTGATGAGAATCCCAAACTGACAGCTAAACAGAGGTATTCACTGTACCAAAAAGTATCAAAGGGCTTGAGAACAAGAAATCTGAAAAGTATCTGAGCTTCTCAGAGTTTCAATAAAGGAGAAACTGTTTTCCTAGAATGGTTCTAGAACCTTCTATAACTGAGTCTTAGTCTACCCAACTACCACATGGAAGATGGTCCACTGACAGAGTTACCTAATTTGTGAAATACAACAGTTTATTTTGAATAATTTACATTAATTTTTGTTTGTTTGTTTGTCTCTAGAAAATGCAAAAATATACTATCTTGGTCAGCTCAAGTTGCCATAACAAAATGCTACAGACTGGGTGGCTCAAACTCAGACACTTGTCTTCTCACAGTTCTGGAGTCTGGAAGGTCTGAGATCAAGGTGCCTGCTGGCTCGGCTCCTGGTGAGTGCTTTCTTCATGGCTTGCTGCCCTCTCCTGCATCCTCACCTGGCAGAAAGAGAGGGCTCCTCTTCTTCTAACGTACCAGCCCCACTGGATTACAGCCCTCATTTAACCTCGATTACCTCTTTACAGACCCTATCTCCAAATACAGTCATATTGGGTTAGGGCTTCAGTATATAAATTGGTGGGTGGGGAGCATAATTCAATTCAGGGCACAAACTTCCTAGAATTTTTATTTTAGAAAATGTAAAAATATTTTAAAAAATACAATCCAGATTAAGCCCAAGATTTGATGTGCCCACTTTATTTGATCTGAAAATACCACAGGAAAACTCAAAGTGAAAACAATCCATAAAAGAAAAGTTATATAAAGTACTTATAAACCTTCTTACAGTTTTAAATATTTCAGTTCTCTGAATTGGCATAGCTTTCACAAATTTAGTTCCTTTAAAGGGATAATATTATTAATAATAACAGAAAATTAACTTATGCTTCACTTTCTGAAACAACATTAAAGTACAATGAACATTAAGCTGTCAATAATTCAGAGAAAAACAAAAAAATTTACATACATCTATTTTTTCTCTTAGATTGTGTAATCCTGGAGGAAGGCTGAGTTCTACAATTTTCTTCTAGGCTTTGCAGACTGAAATATCTGCCAAGTGCAGGTATTAGTTTGTTCAATGACAACATTTAGCAAAACTTGAGAACTTAAAAAACTATTTAAAAACAGAAACTGATGTATCTCAGATTTTAACTTCAAAAATAATTAAGGCTTTTGGGGGAGGGCAGACAGAAAGACAGCTCTGTATAATAGTTTATGCAACAAATCACTTCTTGTGTGTGTGTGTGTGTGTGTGTGTTTTAATTTCTTTAAAATACTGAATAGGGACACGCATTACTCCCTTCTTTTCTAACTTTTCTTGCATCACAGTCACCTGGAGGGAGAATAAAAAATACACATTTCTGCCCTTGCTGCTCCTTGAAAAGGACTCGGTGAATCTTGGGCGGGGCTGAGCACCTAGATTTTTAATCAGTGATGCCATTGACTTAAGGAAGGGGAACCGCAGTCGTGCGGCCGGACTTCTCGCATCAGACCCACTGGGGTGGGGCCTGGGGCACCTGCGGTTCGGTGAGTCCCCCAGGAGACTGTGATGCAGCGTCAGCAGCGGAAAGCACACGGAAGCTCAGGGCGTCGGCGCCCAGGCCACCGCGGGGAGAGGCGCTGAAGTGAGTTTCCTGGGGCGGGGATCTCGGTCCTTCCCGGGCGTCCTCGGCGTGGGGCCGGCGCACACCGACCCCGGAGACACC